ACTTTCATTTATGATGAATCTTAGTCGGAAAATCCTCCTAATAACCTAGTGAGAAAAAAAAAATCTCCATTTTACAGAAAGGAAATCTGAGGGGGAGACGCTGAACATGTTACACAAGCCCACACAGGACCTTAATAAGTGCTTAAGAAATCCTACCTCCTTGAATGTTTTTTCAGGCAATGAGAAGCTCCCATTCCTCTCTCTTGTAAAGAGTTATTAATGCTGTCCTGTATGGGTCATGCAGTGCCTCTGACCTTAACTCACCTCAAAGACATACAGCTCCGCAGTGTCACAGTTGTCTTCATTCCCATGTGACATCCACAGCTAAAGCTCTTTCACCTAAATCCAAGGTGGATATGGTCATGCCCATATTCAATATCATGTGTTGGATGTTGGCTTTCCCAAGGCTCAATTTGAGCTGTCAGTCTGAGCAAATGAGTCATGTTGTGCAATAGTGTTATAACACGGGGACGGCGTTCGTGCAGTTGAGCTCGAGATAAATATCTGGGAAGAAAACTGCCATGTGATGATAGCTCTGGGCATATCTGCTTTGTGAGGAAAGGTGCTTCTACATTAGCCTTTCACTTTGGCCCAGGAGTGCACTTTTGAAGTGAACCCTCCAAATGACCCTGCTTACCCCGTCCCACCAGGCCAGGCAGCCTCGGAACACGCAAACGGAATTCTTTTGTGTGAAACCAAACCAGGTGACGTGGTCTGGGAGCTTCAGTAGCTAACGGGGATTCAGTCCACTGGAGCATGCTAGGACTGGTCTGAGTAAACCTCTGACACGCAGTGACCTGGGGCCAGTCCCTGCTCTCCAATGCACAGTGTACATGTACTTTTGTTTGCCTATTTGCTAAGCAGAGCAGGGTTCCTACCCAAGGGGTTGTAAGAAACTCGGATAGGAGGGAAGTGAAATGGCCTGAAAATCCTGCCTGAGGAAGCACACTGCTTTCTGTATAACCCCATCGGTTTGTCTGCAATAGAAATATTTCCATTCAGTATAAATTCTACGTGAGAGACGTTCTGAAGGGGAACATAACAGAGCTTGGAAACATTTTGCTGAGAAGCACTACCAGTGCAAACCTTCAAAGGGTAACTCTGTACATGGCTACAAAACCATATTCTGTTTAAACTTGTTCATCATTGTCTTCTTGCATGACAGCCCTGGCATTTAAAATATGTTAGGGGTGACACAATACTTTCACCTGGTGCAGACATATATCACTGGAAGGATGTTCTCATAAACAAAGTGCTGCAGGCTATGATCTTATCATTCTCCTCTTCCTTCTTCTCAGCTCAGTTCAATGACAAACACGTATTTCTCTTCTTTGCTCCAGTTTTCTGCTCTACAGAAGCCTGGTGTTGGAGCAACAGGTGATGTGGCAAATCAGGAATGACAAGCACTGGTGGTGGCCTGGTGGGGAGAAGCAGCATCAGAGGGGGCAGCAAACATGCAACGAATTTTATTGTGCTGCAGCTGGTGCAACTTCATGGCACGAGCAGAAGTGCACTGACGTGCATGCCCGCACACGAGTGGGGTTTTTTCTGAGAAAGACAAAGCAAATTAGAGTGTTCATATGTAATTAGCTGACTATTAGTGTGGTTCAGCCAAGGCAATAGGCAGACAGTTAACTTGGAGATAGCTCGCAGATAAAAGGGCTGAGGAGGGTGTTCTGGGGAAAGCTGGAGGTAATGGTTCAGAAGATAAATTCCTGACAAATTGAGCAGGCATCTCAGAATGTTCTTGCCCTACACCACCAGCACAGTGAAGCTATACAGGCCTTCCCTCTCTCCCCTACAAAGCTTAACCCTTCCTGGCACCCAGGGGTCTTTCTCCTTGGACAGCTCACTTCTAAATTATTTAAGAATTATAATTTTCTATTTAAACGCATTAGTTTGGACTAAAATTGCGACATTTCCTGCTCATGCTTCCTGCCCTCTTTTTTATGCCAGCATATAAAACAGAGGCTATTACCCTTGTAGAGGCTGGAATATCCCCAGTTATTTATCTGAGAGCGACCAGGTCTAGTAAAAACTTTATCATTTACCATAAGTAAGCATCACACCTGGGGAGAAACCCAAAGTGCGTCCAAGTTCAAGTCTTTGCAACTTCTATGAAAATGTGGGTGTTTTAGTAAATCTTTGTGCTAAATGAAAATGTCATTATAATTTTCTCTCATTTTACAGCTGACAGGGAAGTGCTTTTTTCTGTCCTTTGGGAGTTTTCAAGATTTCATTTTTTTTCAGCTAATTCTGTGGCTAACCAATAAGCTGCTAAAATGTAAAAAAAATATAACTGAGTCATTTGCTTCAGTAGTTTCAAAATATTTCAATTTTTTTGCTTTCACTTATAAATTAAAAATGAAAATTAAAATATATTTCAAAGCAAATAAATGTTCACTTAGAAAAACATGTATCAGGACACTTGCAATTATTTTGAAAAGTCTTTAACATCTTTTTTTCAGTTGAGAAGCTTCATGAAAACTGCATTATTTAATCCAAATCTTTTTGCCTGTCTGGCATTTTTCAGCACAAATTTTTCATGAAAAACCCTAGACATAATCCACTTTTATGATCAATTCAGTATATTAAGGTGTTCTTGTTTGGGATGACTTCTGAGGAGGAATAATTGAGAATTTCATGCTGAGTTGATCCAGTACTGAAATTCTCCAATATTGCTGAAATTATTCATGCTTCTGAGTATCCATTTATGGAAAAGCCTGTATTTCTTAGGGCCTGTGGCCCCTTTCGTTCCTCTCAAATAAGACTGATCTAAAGTGTTTCTGTTGAAGTAAAAATTTATCATGGCTTTTGCACAACTTGTACACTATTTTTTTTGCCGCTGTGTAAACTCCATAGCAAGTCCGTTAGAACTTTGTCCTGCAAGGAAAGTGCACACTTGATATTTCAGATTAAATGTCCTCGTATTCTGTCATGCCAGACACAGAATTCACCAAACAGACAGAAGAACTTGCACTACTGGGGTGAGTTCAGCCCCATTTACTAAAAAACACGTTATTTTTTGCTGACAATAGATCACTTCTAAGCATACAATTAGCAACTTTTGGTATATAGCTATTTTTAACCCCCAAAGTAAATTACCACTTGCTACTTTTTAATGCTCGTTTGTTCAAGCCTCGTGTAAGCATTTTGTCATGAGCAAAAGTTGGAGTGAACTCTCTACGGAAGAAATGTTGAATCAAGAGCGCGAGATTGTGTTGATGTTTCTGTTCATCTTGAAGGAGGGAACCTTCTGCTGTAGATCTCAAGTGATGCTCAAGGGGAAGAACAGCACGTACAAGGAGGGGAGCCAAGAGCCTGCCACTAGAGATAAACCCTGGGGACAGTGTCAAGGTAAGGGCCCTCACCAGCCACTCAGGAAATGTTTTCTTCCTGACTCTTGCTGCCCTGCTTACCTTCTTCCCGCGGTTGTTTTCCTCATCCCACCTTGCAGAACAACAGGAAAACCTGAGGTTTTGCACATGTTTCTGGAGAGAGGGTTGTCTTGCCTAGAAGCAGCAGCTGTGTTCGACCAAAGGTCCTGCAATCCCCTCACCATCTCCCATGAGGAGCAGCTGAGGGAACTGGGAGTGTTTGGAGGAAAGGAGGACCAGGGGGCACCTTGTCACTCTCTACAACTCCCTGAGACAAGTTTGCAGTCAGGTGTGTGTCAGTCTCTTCTTCCAAGTAACAAGAAATAGGACAAAAAGAAATAGCTTCAAGTCACGCCAGGGGAGGTTTAGGTTGGATATTAGGGAAAATTTCATCACTGAAAGGGTGGTGAAGCATTGGAACAGGCTGCCCAGTGAAGTAGTGCAGTCAACATCCCTGAAAGTGTTAAAAAAATAAGTAGATATGGTGCTTAGGAACATGGTTTAGTGGCAGACCTAGAATGTTGGGTTAATGGTTAAACTTGATGATCTTAGATGTGTTTTCCAACCTTCATGATTCTATGACTCTATGATCTCTGTGGCAGAAACCCCCAGCACATATATGGAAAAATGTCAGAAGTCAAAACTAATTCTTCTCATAAGGTATTCTCCTTGTTCCTATCACTCAGTGCATTACAGACTGACAACAGAAGTTTCATAAACCAAGAATGTTTAGTGGTATTCTAGCCTGATTATATTTTTGGTATTCTGTGGCAGAAAATCCTGCAATTTAATTGTGCTGCATGACAGAAAATTTTATTCACTTTAAACCTCTTTTGCTCCTTGTGTTAACATAGTCTATAAATATTCCCCTCTTCACAATGTTCTTCATAATGTTTGTCACAGTATACACCTCAGTGATCTCCTTTCAAAGAGTTCTAAATTTGTCTCATTTTCCTTTGAATGGAAGCAGATACATACAATTACTGACAAGACAACCACTATCAAACCCAACTCTTGTTACAGAGACTGAAACGCTTCCAAAAATTAATTATTTAAAATAATCCAAACAGTGCAAATATCCAAAGATCAGGCAGATCTATGAAACTTGCCTGCAGCAAAATCATGCAATTAGAATCATGCTCATAAGTGTTGCAGTCTTAAAACATTAATAGATCATTTTAATGGAAGGAGTTATTAAAATTGTATTTGATTTGCATTATTACAACACTGAATGCGCTATGGAAAACTGAGTTCATGAGTGAGGTACAGCACAAACCAGAGTCTTATTATCTGAGCTGGAACTTTAAAATAGACCTTGCTTTACAGTTCTGAATTTTCTTTAGTTTTATTTCTTTTCTAAATTGATAAGAACTCGGGTTTTTATATTAGAAATAGAAAATGAGGAGGAGGATAAGAAAATAGCTGGAGATTGAAATAAAGACTGAGAAAAGCAATTTGAGGAAAAAACAATCCTTTCCAAAGTAAGTAATTTTTATCATAAATGAGATGTATTGTTGTGATCATAACCACTATCAAAAGTCCCATGAATTGCAGGGTTTCTGTAGACGATTTAGGAAGAAGTTGGCCCAAATGTGGAAGCAATTATAAAGAAATTCATGACTCTTTAGTAAGCATTCCTTGTTTTATTTCTGTTACAAATAGACTGTAATTTGTGGATCTCTATCTGACATCTTTTTATTGGGCACTTACCCTCCCTGACCTGTTTATAAAATTCCCCATTTCATTAGTGGGACATCACCAGCAAATCTGATACACAAATGTCTCCTTTAATCCAGCAGGAAGCAGAGTCTGTTGGCGTTAATGGAATAATTTCAATCATTTCTAACAGATTTAGAAATAAGCCTGCAAGGGTTAAAAGAATATATATAACCATAATTACAAAGTGGAAAAAGGAATACAGTTTCTTTGCAACTGAGATATTTTTAGGGTTTTTGTTCTTTAGAATCCCTGTACAGGTATGTCCCTCATGCACCGTTGTCAAAAATAGTGTTTAGGCATTTAGGCTTGAGTTGATTTAATCCAGTACAGAAGTGTGCTCTAAATTTTTCAGGGCAATGCAAATGTGTAAAAATGGTGTCTTCGTGTACAAAAGCTCCATTTCACTTAGAAGAACCATGCTAATAAATTAAATAAATGAAAGTATTTCTATTAAAAGTAGAAACAGTGTCTCATAGAAAAAAATGTCATCGATCTTCTGAACTTAAAATATGTTTTAAAATTCAGTGTTCAGATCCTGAGCAGGTGTAAATCATCACAGAAATTATGCTGTTACACTTTACATGATATTACCAAATTGTCTTGCTGGTAATTAAGAATATCCTCTATGGAATAAGGACCAATGACAGGAGAAAATATAAGTTGATATTGTCTCAGCACGCATAAGTGGTAGACAGAAATATTCATGTGCATAATCTTATACCTTACCTACATGATACCCAGTGGGCTAAAGTAATAGTGTACAGAATTATCTTGGAAAAGACAATTCTCAACAGAAACTAAAAATCTTATGAGTTGTCTGCGTTTCTCATAATTATACATGGCAAAAAATGGAGATAAAACTAACAGGCATGCTCTTGGAAAACGTTTCTTTATAAATGCTTCTTTAAACTTTCGGCATATTATACTCAAACGTTTTTCAGGCCCAATTTTTCTGTATTTCATGCCAAGAAAATCAGTATTTCTTTCTCCCTTTCTTTTCATGGGTCTATTAGGTTTGCAATCTGCAGCCCAGGGAAACATATGCAATTCCTATTAGTCACGAAGGTAATGAAGTCGTTCTGATCAAACATGAAATTTTTGCCCTGAATTTCTGGTGTAAATTTCAAGGGGAAAGGCCACCCGAGAATTCAACAGCCACTTCCATGAAGAGCCAAACAAGCCACTCTGTCTGCTACAGAACAGCTCCTTTAACTTACCAACATAATGAGACTTTTTCAGAATCAAACTTTTCTTTAAAAACAAGTGCTTCCCTTCCTTGATATTAAAAGTGAACCTCTCCTGATTCTTGTGAAAATTATTTTTAACAGCTTCCTTGAGGAGATGTCCTTTTCAAGCGACATATTCGAGCAATTCCTCGGGGCTGGAATTTGAGGTGTTCGTGGAACATGCTCTGACCTCTGTGTTCAGCTCATGGCTTTCCCCAATATACTTTGAGCTTGTTTTCAACTCCAACTAAGTCACTATGGGGATGTTAAGTCTAAATTCCACGTAACAAAACATAAAGCTGATGGCCAATTCCCTATTTTCTCATTTTGGATAGTAAAATAAATTTTGGTTCTACTATCCAAAATATTTAGAAGTAGTCAGCTGAGAGAGAAAAAACATAGTGCATAGTGGTGAATGATGTTTGCATGCATATATTTAAAATCTCCTATATGTCCAAAGCAACCAGAATCATGATGTTATGAACAGATGACATTAAAAGGCCAAAAATGTGAAGACAAAAAGATCTTCTGTATAGATTATCTGTGGTAATCCTTATTGCAGATATTGAGGGATAATTCTAGATTAGCAGAAATCAAGAAAGAGTTAGGCCTATATGTAGGTTTAGTCTTTGATCTTATACAAAGTGTAGAAGGCACTACTGTGTATTAGAGGTCCCCTGAGCAAGAACCATTATCTAGGCATCTGGTGCAAACACATTACCTTTGGAAGTCTTATTCCAAGGTATGAAAAAAATCCCCCAACAGCAGGAAGAAATAGAAATATTTGTAAGCTTCTCTTGAAACCCTCAGAACCAAACCAGGATGCCTTTTAAGACAAGCTCCAGCAACACTGTCCCTCCAGGATCTCTGATCAGGCGGTTTCCTGATCTTCATGTCTGCACACTCCAAGCAGGAACATGCTGAATATTAGCATCTTTCTGGAGCTGTATAATATATGTGGTTCTATTTTAGCCTCTTGGTATCCTGTTGGTATCCTGACTTCTCTTATATCCTGTAACATAGGGAAGTGTAGCTCTTTTCCTTATTAATACAAAACATACAAGTATCCACATATGAGGACTAGTGAAACATTGCCTGTTGTAAAACAGCAAGTATTTTGTACAGAGGGAAAATTCTGTGACTTGCCTATTAAATGACAAGCACAAACAGTTTCTTATGTATGGCCTCCAGTGAACTCATCCCATTTTGTGAATACTGGAGCTTTTCAAACCTCCAGAGTTTTGTGTTTAGGAAAGCAGATGTGCAAATGGAGATCCAGGTGACCTCCCCTCTGAGGATCAGGCCTTTGACATACATTACTCCCCTGCTGACAGCACGAGAAGTGTGGATCAGTTGGCATTTCACACCTGCAACTAATGTAGAAGTTGTAACAATATAAGAGAGCATTAGGGATAGGGGCGATGCTTTGGACACAAACCAGCTATATTTAACAGGAAAGGTGCAAATCCGCATTACAACTCAGGATATATATTAGCTCCAGCCCTTCTTTAACCTAGAAAGAAAGAATTATGTCCAAGGGAACTTACCTCAAAGAGTTTCTCTTTCCTCTGGCAGAAGTGATGATTAGGCCAAAACTGGCCATTTGTTTTATCTGTAGGTGGGGAATAGACGATTTAGTCCGTGCGGCTTCAGCTGCCTTGGCTCAAGATCCTGACCTACAATAAATACCTCTTCACAATCAATAGAGCAATGAACTTGGAGTAGAGCCCAGGACCTTTCCCGGCAACTTTGGCCTGGACTGAGCTGACCTGGTAAATCTGCGGGAGCAGGAAGAGATCTCATTGAACATCCCGAGTTCTCCAAGTCCTCTCTGCCTTGGGAAGTCTGTGCCTCCAGTTAGGCTGCTGGAGCCAGGAATTACAACAGCTTTTCATATACTATTTTCTTGTTGGTAACAGATGTTCTGCACTGCTCCTTGGGCTTTTTGGACTTTACTGATGCTGCAGCATGCATTCTCCTACGATACTCATCACTGACTGGGGCTCTCCTCACTAAAGCAGATCTATCAACTGCAGAGCATTTGGGGTTGGACAGATTTGTCTGCTGCCCCGTTTAGGAGTAGTAAATTTTTTGGGTGGGTATAAGGGTACCATCATCCTTTATATCAGCTTGCTCTAGCCCTGGGAACTCATCTCCACTTGATGGATTTTGGAGGTTTCTTTGTCAGCGTGTCAGGTGGCTGCTCGGCTATCTCCCTACATCCTGATGCCTCCTGCCTTTCTTCCTGGCTGGGAAATGTCAGAGGTGGAAATGAGCAGTTTTATCTCCTTCAGCAAGGTGTACAGGGTGGGGGTGGGTCACAGCAGCATATCTCTCCTTGAAAAGTCAGGGGGTGCAACCCCCCCAAAACGGGCCCCTGGGCAGTTACGTGACATTTGGCTTGAGAAAGGAAACCGGTTTGTCACCTCATTGCTTCATGGTGTCATCCCAAGGCAGAGCTGAGGAGCACCTGTGGGCTAGATAAGATAAGATGATATTATTGAGACTATACTCATCATGTTCTGAGGATATTCTAGTTTCCAACCTCAAAATGTGATATATTAAAAATGTGGAAGGGTTCTCAGTTACAGGAATATTAATTTATAGGTTTTCCTACCAAAGAAAGCAAAGCATCTGACCCTACTCATCTTTCTGATTTCTGTTAGAAGATTCAACAGCTCCAAAGCAGATGAGATCTGTCATCAACCGTGACCCCTTGGCCTGAGAACTGTGTGTACACATAGGAAAGGTGTTCTTTCCCAGAACCACACAGGCTACAGATGAAGTATGTGTAGATGCTTTGGTGTAACGTGATTGCATGTGTGTACCCTGCAAAATGCATTTTGGATGCAGTTGAGACTAGTGGTACATACAATTCAGAGTTATTAGGTACAGTAAAACAGGTAGGAAGGGCACAGAAAAGACATGGGAAGGTCTAGATTAAGGCAGGAAAAAAGGAAAGATGATTGATGTGGAGACAGCTAAAAGGATGACAGGTGTGACAGGCAGGATCAGGTAGGACAAATCCAAATGGTTTAAAAGAAGATGGAAAAATGCCTCACTGGCATTGTACCTTTAGTGTTTCCCACAGTGATATTATAGTGCTTTTTCTATTCTTGCTGCAAACAAAGCACTGAAGTTCTCCTGATTATTTTTTCCCCTGTGTAAGATGTCCTTTACGCCGTGATGAGATCACTGGTGTATTAGTTCATTTCAATCTTTTCAGAAAGAATCCAGGAACTGCAGTGAGGTCATGACTGCAGTAATGTCTAAAAGGATGGTTTTATGGAGGAAAGGAGAAATATTCCTCTCATTTAGAAAAACTGTAACAGAATTTGTGGCTCTCAAGTGTGTTGGACAAGTTAAGGTTTGCTTGTTTTTCTGTTGCATTCTTTTGCAAAAGCCAATCTGCTTCATACTTTTGTTCTTTCCTTAAGTGTTGCATAAATCTAACAAAGGTTGCAGACAAATCACCCTGCTAGAGCAGTGCTCCACCTGAACAATCATCTATCAGCATCCCTACATATGGTACCTCCCCAGTCACACAGTCAGGAGCAGGGTAAAAAATCAGACTCTTCTGATGACCTGAATGTCCTCACATTAGACCTTCTCTATCATTCAGAAGGCAGATGCCTCACTGGGAACATCCTAGTTCCCATGTCTTTCAAGGAGAAAAATCCTTGGGGCATCCCCTAGGGCCACAGTATCACTGCTTAACATGACATATTTGTGCCTCACGGATCAATGGAGCAATGTCAGGCATGAATTTGGACCGTGACATTTCAGGCAATGACCTAAAAAAAGAAGTGGCTCGGGAGTGCCAAAATTTCACTCTTACTCTGATTTTTACCTCTAGTCTTTTCCACTCTCTGTGGAAGTGATAAGACTTAATGATATAATTCTGAAAGGTCTCTGGATGGATTTAGTACTGGAAAGAAACACGGAGAGAGGCGGAATCACGTGGCTCTCTTTATCATGGCCAATCTATTGTATTTTAATGTGTTCTAATGAACTTAACAATTACTCCCCAGAGTGCTTGCTACCTGGTTCAGAGGGGTTATTTTGAGTTTGCCATCTTCCTGGATTCTTGAGACAGTTCCCCCTGGATTTGTTGGGTCAACAACAAAGTGGTGATAACAAATACACTTCTGCTTTAATCCAGCACTGTGCTTTCCCCCTCTTTGCAAAGTGGATTCGTGCATACCAAGAGTTACACTGCTCCTAGTTTAGCAACTTTAGGGTATTAGTGCCATTCATCACACAACCAGTTCCTCTTTCATATCCAGAGCCCAAATATCCTGGATGATCCATGGGACACAGAGGATGCTGAAGGTTTAGTTTTGCTGGAAGGGTTTAAGAGCTTTAGTTACCCAGAGAGGGGTGGGAGATTAATGGTGTTCTTTGGTAATGACAGGGACCTGTGAGCTCTGAATCCCATTGCATGCAAAGAGGAACCCACCTCTACATACTACTAATATGCATAGCTATGGGAAGTCTTTTAAATAAAAAAAGACTAATTAAGTGGTCTGGATGTCTAAGTATGAATTGGATTTCTGCAGGCTTAGGGAGGTGGGGAAATGGGTTAACATTGCATTGTTTCAAATTACAAGGTTTTAAATTGCTTAAAACGATAAGCAGAGAGGGTTTCCACACCAGATTTGAGACGTTAGTTCTCTTTTATTTGTACTAAAGTTTCGGCTTGAGCTCACATTGTCATTCTACCCAGACTGCTTCCCAGACCAGCTAATTTGTCTACCTGTGTTCCATTTTAGGCCTTGGTTTTAATTTGAGCATGATTCCTGCTAATACCAAAGACTGGATAGGACATCCATTAAAAGTCTACACAGCAATTGAAATGGAAAATTCCAAAAGAAACCCTATTAGAGTTTTTCTCCATCAAATCAACATTACAGACTTCTTATGCATTTCTTAATTAGACATTGATATTAACTGGACTGTTGCATGATTTAAATCTAGCTCTTAATCTCAGCTATTCTATGCTGCTGTAGTTTTTATGACATCCAACTAGCGACTGCTTTATGCATTAATCTATCTGGAAAACCACCTTCCCATTTTTTTTGTCTTTTTTTAGAAGAATAAAGGCCCCAAAAAGGAAATGAAAGCTTTTGGGTTCAGCCATTAGTAATTTTCTGCTTAGTATTTGAAAAATTGCTTATTTTAATTGCTTCATAGAAGAAAAAGATATCAAAGCTAACATTCTTTCTCTCCAAACTTTGTAATTATTTCTCTCAGACTCTTATTTGAAATGCCTTGAAAGGATTTTCATTGAAATGTAGATTTCTTCTCTTTCAAAAGTACTTTTATTCCCCCGTGCTTCTTTCTTTTTTTTTTTTTTTCCTCCTAGTGACTTCCTCTCTAGATTTAGAGCACAATACATAGTCTCCAATCTCTGGACACCACAGCATGTGTCACATAGATTTCCCTTAAGTGTCATCTTTAAACCTAACCTTCCCCTGGCCCATAGACTGTGCTGACAATTGGCCTTAGGTCTTAGTCTGGTATCCTTGGGGTTCCTCCAGGGACAGTGAAGAAAAGTCACAGGTGTTATAGGGGTTTACTCTGTCAGGATCAACTCATTCTGAAAATTTCTGTGTGATTTGCTTATTAATATCACTACCAAAATCAGGGGAACCAAATGAGAAAATTTTTTAAATGCTACGCAAGAGTGTCGGTGAGTTGAAGTTGGGGCTTGTGGTAAAGCCAAGGGACAGGTAAGCTTTGTATAGTTTTGGGTTCTGTTTCCAGTGGTATAAATCCTGGATATCCTAATCCAGGAAGGAATTTGCTAACCAAACCTCATAGTTAATTCTGCATTGTATTTAAACATCAGTAGCACAAAGCTGCAGGATCATGTTGGCCTCCTTGGTAATCCTTGATACCAATACAGCAGTAGTAGCAAGAAGTTCTTTATTTCAGCCACACCTTTACAAGGAGCATTATTTACTAATGGATTATGATCTGGTCAAAATGATCTGTACATTCATTACGTCTGGAGTGGGCTTTCATAACTCACAGCACCTAAGAATGAGGCAAAACTCACATTTGGTTATAGTGCTGTGATTCTGCTCGGCTAAAAAAGGTGCAGAGAAAACACTGTCCTAAGCACTTGTGGTCTGCTCTGAGTCCCAGGTGATTTCTCATGCCAGCTCAAAAACATCTTTGAGAGCCTCAGAAAAGTGGGGGACCTGGCTGCCTCAGAGACACCTCAAAATACAGTTGTTCCTCTGCAAATAAGTCACCCCACATGCCTCTCGTGGTCACGGCTGAGGTTATCTCACAGGGAGAATCTTCCCAGTGGAACTAAACATTTTGAGAAGATTGAAATGAAGCTAAAGCATTCTCAATATCAGATTTTACACGCATTTTTTGCAATAACACAAAAGGAAGAAAGAGAATAAGAAAATGAGTTAGAGGGAGATGGAGAGAGAGATGGTCTATTAAGCAAAGCTACTTTTTTACTCTCTGAATTTACAGTCCTGATAGACATCTTTATTCAAAATTACTCATTTTTTATATTCAGATACTATAGCTTTCAGTACTAGGTCCTAGATTTGTCTGGACAGATTACCCTCTTATTTCCACAATGAAACTTAATTATCCTTTTTATGTCTTCAGATACTTCCAGTCATTTCCTGAACTGTTTCTGGGGACAGAGAGCAGCTCATGGGTCAGTCAGTAAAGTAAATACTGTGCATCCCTGTTGGCCACACATTTTTGAATATAAAAGCCCTTTGGTCCCAGGTTTTCTTAGAAAAATTTGAGGGCTGGTCCACGTAATTTGCTCTGATCTACTTTTGCTGAGCTTTTTTTTCTGACTAGGCAGGGACTCATCATTTTCTCAGCACCTTTCTGTGTATTACTTGGAAGCATCTAAATGTGACTAACTCACCTGGAATCTGTAGAAGGATATTTGAATGCGTCATCTCTGAGACAAGAATAACCCCTCACGAAATCCAGGGTGGAAATCACCGCGTGGTTTCAAACACCCCTTCCTGTATCCCTGCTGTTGCAGCAGGAAGGAATGCATCTGAGTAGTTAAAGTCCAAGTGACTAAATAAATTGCTTCAAAGTAATAGTAGCACAGAGGGATGTGTAAGTTGCTGGTATTGAGTAGTTACTAGACATCAGGAAACTTTGTTGCTTTCATCCATAAAGAAATTATCCATTACCTCTACCTTCTGTCTGAGCAAAACTAGCACAGAGCAGTCAACACAGAAAGGTTGCATGAGATAACCCAAGACCTGCAAGTATTAAAGAGAAAATTATGAGTACCCACTCAGTTTTTGAGAGTTAGTTTTTAGCTTTTATTTTTTCAAAGTATCAGTTGTTCAAATATGAAAGTAAACTGTTACAACTAATTAAAGTATAAATTGGTTTAAGGAAATTACCCAAATAATTAGAAAGCAGAAAGAGAACACAACTGGGTGTATTTTATAGAATCCTTTATGAATGAAATGCTAAGTCCTAAAGAGCTGACCTGGTAAAATAATATTGAAATATATAAACAGAGCACGTGTTGTTGTAGTACCCACATAGTTTTTATTGGGTTGGACAAATAGTTCAACAAATGAGGAACAAATGCAGTTTTGCTAGGCTGGAATGAACAACTGACTTTGTATAGACTTTATACATTGCATAAAACTCAAATTAAACAAAATTTCTCTTACCCTGGCATAGTATTAACTCTGCAGTTACATCTCTGCCTGAAAGTTGCTTCTTCCAAGTCCATCTTGTGACTCCAGCCTGAAAGCAGGAACCAGGATGGTGCAGTATCACTGAGACCACGCAGTCTGTCATGCCAAAACCAGAAATCAAGATGTCACCGTGGTGTAAAACATGAGTTTCTCCGTCACACCCAACCTACATTTTTTCCTGATGAGTTTATCACACTTAATTTCCACTAGCCTGAGAGAACAATTCTCATTCATTCATTCAGTTTTGGTGATTCAAAATAATTATTAAAAGAAAAGATACTGAAAACAACAAGCAGCAGGATCCAGGGATTGAGGGTCTTGGGCTGAGCCCCTCTTTTTGCTGCTGATGGGTTCTACCCTCTTAGACCTGTCACTTCAACCCTCAGCCTGGGTGCATTTACCTGCCTCCATAAAGCAGATAGTAAGCACTGTTTATGGGGCTCTTACACTCCCATGTGCTGTAGGGTCTGTACAGTGTATGGCAATAAACTGGGTCCTGATCTCACCTCTGTCCTCACTCCCTGCCACTGGAAAATGAGTGATAAAAAATAATAATAATAATAAGCTCAGAATAATTATGTATTGTCTTTATAGGGAAACAGGCCTTGGGCATTGTGAGCTTTCCACCGGGAGAAGTCCCATTTAAAAAACCTCCCTGGCATAAAAATGAATCGAATCCTGTCACATGAATGGCCTGCATTTACTATTCTTTTCACTTACCTTCTAGTCGTTCATTTTCTGAGCTGACTTGTACCTCTTCCCTCATTGTCAGCGGGAACTGGGTAACAAGAACTTGCTGGAAATGGAGTAGTAAATAAATAAACAAACACAGAAAAAAGCTGCTGACTTGGCAGATGCACTATTACAGCCATGATGTAAAACTATCAAACAACAAATGCGACTTCTGAATGTCTCATGATTCACATCACAAACAGCAAGTGAGGAAACTGAAAGAGGATTTTGACCAGTGATAATGAATTTGGAACAACACTGGATTTTCAGATCATAAGAAATTCAGGACAGGTCTGAGTTGAATCCTTGATCACAGGTATTCTCCTTCCCATAGCCATTGTAGCATCAAGCACTTCATCCATCATCTGTAAAAGGTCAGCACTTGGACTACCCCAATACCAGGGACCACTCCACTATAGCCAGGAAAATTAGTCAGCATCTCTGCTCTACAATAATGAAAATGTTTGGGTAGTTCAGGAGAACTCCTCTCCTCCCAAGCAGCAAGTAGCTCTTACTGTGATACCAGGCTCCTTGTTTCACCCGTTTCAAATCTGAAGCTCTTGGAAAAGGTACCAGTTCATAACTGCTGCATCGGTCTTGCCTCAGGAAGATGGAGAAAAACAGAGGAGGGCAGAGGCAGAAACAACCCAAGTAACTTAATGGATGTTTTGTTGGGAAAAAAAGAGGAGATTAATTAATGGGAAAAGCCTGATGGTCATTAAGTGTCCTGGAGCAACTATTGTGACAGTGAAGCAGGAGTTCCTGTGTGGCTTTAAGACATCTGCCCTAAGGAAACATTCGCAATTGAAACTGCGTCCTCTTTTTCCCAGCTCTCCAATTCCCATGGGCCAGCAGTTGCCTTGCTAAATGAAATGCCTCTTTAGGGAGACTGGCTGGCCCCAGGGACTGGTAATGCAATACAGAGCCTTTCATCTCTCACCCATGAACCCAAGTCAAACAGAGTTTGGTAAATGGCCAATAACCCTTACCATCCCAGGGCTGTTTGGTGACCTGTGCGAAATGAGGAGGGTCATCTCTGTGTCTGTTTACTAGAAGGCAAGTGTCAACTTCACCATAAAAAGGGACACAGTTACTACTCATTATCACCCAATTTAACATTCTGAAGACAAGAGAATGAGCCTGGAAAACTCAGCCATCTTCTGACCCAACGATGGCGGTCCCAGGACATCAGGGCTTGAAGAACATTAATGAGGACAGTTGCATTGTAGCAAACCAGGCTGTGCCTCTCCTGCCAATAAGAAATCCAAGTCTGAACTAGTCAGAGCGGCACATGATTGCAGTTTTTCCCAGATCTACACGGAAATCCATGGGATTTGGTTCAGTTTTTAGGGGCAGCAGGCACTGAAGCACAGCCACGAAGTTACACAACGCCACAGACTTCTGCAAATCTGCACTTATGGTCTTAAATAGACACAGGCAACCTGAATTGGGACACAGCATCCAGCACTGATAGAGTTAATGTGCTGAGAAACCCTTTACTGGAAGGCTCTGTTCCCTCACCCATCATGAATACACTGTTCTGGTTACCAAAATAGATGTATTTGGAAGGGTTGAAGGCCAGAAGCTCTCTGCAGTACCCATTCTTGCCCTATGCACTGCTCATTTTAAGGTCAGACCTTTGGCATCAGGAACCTGTTAGAAGAAAGAGGAATCACTTTAAAAGTTGTTGCCACTCTGGGGATTACCCTGGAAGGTCTGAGAGGGTAAAGGGAAGGGCAGGGGCAGATAAACACTTGGCCACATGAAAAATCAGCTGTCCCTAAATTTCAATACATCTGCATAAACCTCCCAAGACTCCAGCCAGCCTGTTCTTACTCACAGTGTTCCCAGTCACCACTATCATTTTGTAGCCCTTCTTATGCCACAACAACGACAATATTGTCATTATCAACTGAGAGTTACTGTTTAATCCCTCCTATCTTGATTAATTGCATTAAATTGGTATACCTATGTTAATTAAACAGAAGATGGCAGAGGCAGCTTTTACTTCTTATCCTTTTGCATAGAGCATTTCCCAGGGCTTCACAGGTTGTGGAAAAACAACAATACAGACACGCAACACGTCATATTTCAGCACAGCTGATAAAGCTATTTTACTCATGCAGTGGTCCACTATTCTTTCTGCATATCACAGTATAAGTTTAATTACCACGCTGCTGCTGCATGGCAGCTCCTCTCGCTTTTCCTTTTTTCTATTTGTATTATTTGCAAGTCATAATCATGTTTTCCTGTCATCCCCGAGCAATGTGCCTGCGTGCGTACAGGCAAATGCCAAGCCTGGAAAGGAAATTTGATGCGTGTCCGTGAATTGGAGTTTTCAAACTTTGGCTGAAGATTAGTACATGTAAACATAGCTCTGCCCCCTTCATCTTGGATAATTGGTCACAAATGCTACTTGACACTTCTCAAATCAGACACTTTACATACTTCTGAGCATAGCTGAACTTTTTTGGCAGGAATTAATTTGCTTTGCAACTTAGCTGCTCATTCCTGGCCCGATCCCTGCTCCAGTGATTTCAGGGCAATGTTCTGCCAGTGCGAGGAGCACAGAGGCAGGACTGGATCTGTTTGCTAGTGCTGACGAGCCCGCCTTGGTGACTCTCTCAAAAAAACAATTACTGCAGCTAATGTTCTCCCCTTTGGCAGCCCTGATTAACATTGGGATTTTTACCTTCGGGTCCCTCTTTCTATTCCAATTACTGTGCAAGTTGCATGGCATCAGGGGACATCACAGAAAAACAAAGAAGGCAATGTAGCATCACCAGCAAATGCAACTTCTGACGCACCAGGAGCCTTCCACAGCAGCATCAGCTTTATGGGAGATGGTTACAGACACCATCAGCCTCCAAGGGGACTGTCTCACTGTTTTCCTGCCTGTCCTGCTAACAGTGCATGCTCCAGCAGAGAAGGGAAATCCATTTCTGAAGTACTGATGAAGTTTTGAAGTAGCCACAGAATTTCATGCTGTTAAGCAGCCCCCTGTTTGCTCTGACATTACAGCGTGTTTACTCACCGTGCACCGGTACTGCAGGAGCTGAGCAGACCATATGCTCACTTAGAAGGGCTGCCAGGACTCAGGGAGCATTACTGTGCCTATTCCAGGAGGAGTTTGGGGCAAGAGTGCATTCCATAAGGGTTTTCACTAGGAATATTGTATTTTATCTGGTGATTTATTTCTGTCCAGCCTCTGGACTAAATGGCAGTTTATCAGCATATCCATGTAGATCTGTGAATAACCGATAGAAAATATCATTTGCCCTTTATTCACTGGGATGTTGATAAGCTACAGCATATTAAAAATGTTTGTCAGTTTGTTCTTTTCAGCTATCAAACGGAATGTGTGCCAGCATGCCCTCCTCTTGTTGGCTGCTTCATCCACAAAACGGAGAGAAAATGATGAAACAATGTCAGGTCTAGAAGAGGGCAAAAGTTCACACGAGTTATTTTAGCATTATTGTCTTGCTTATCACTAGCACTAAATCTGTAAATTAGAATGGGCTCCTACCTGCAGAAGCAAAGGATGAAACTTCGTGCTGTGCTTCAGGAGCAGACCAGGAGAAGAGCAAATCCCTGGTGATGCACCTGTGTTGCCTTGGTTCTCATGACTTCCTGCAGCTCAAAGCACTGATGAGGATTAACCAAGACAGAAACAGTCCACATGATGTTTCTCTGGCCGCTGGGTGCTTGGTCCCCACACTTTCCAATCATGGTCTTGCAAAGGTTCATCCCTAGAAAAGAAGGGTAGATCGTGTTACCAGAGATATGGCAGATTCACTGTGGAAAAGCAAAAATTGCCCCTGAATTTGCCATGGACTAATGCAAGTGAAGACATTGCATGTTAATATGTCTTGGGTTTTCATAGGTTCTTACCTTAAAATAAACAAATGGAGATTTTTTTGCTTCCTGCTGTTTAACTCTGATATTGGAATCATTATGATATTTATGGGTGAACAAGGCAACAATTGGCCAAGAGATACAAGATAGCTCTAAAGCCTCAGCTAAGGAGGAGGCTTAGTTTCCATTGCTATTATCTATCACTATAAATTTAGCTTTCAGGTCCTAGACATTTTAAAATAACATGTCTAGTGTTAAAATAGGAGAGTATCAGAAAAAGCGAATTACAGGTTACAGGCTTCTAGTATTTGCAGTAATAGAACTATTACCATAATTACACCAGTAGAGTACTCGTTTATGTTGTTATTAGGGGAAAGGGATGGTAGAATTAGGATGTATGGAAGGAAAACATTGCAGAAGGGGAGCCAAATAGTTTAGCTGGGACAAAGATGGACACTGATGGCTATTGAACACACTCTTGTTTTCAGCACATGGGGTCACCTGTGTGTGTGTGGACCTGCAATGTCCAGTGATTCAGGTGAAACCGCTATAGGTCACCAATGTCTGGTACAAATGGAAACAAACTGCATCCCACAGAAAGGCACAGCCTCACACAGAAACCCAAGTTGGGAGCTGATGACTTTATGTGCCATTGAACATCTCCATAGTCTTTGCTGGGTGAGAATGGAGATTGACCACGTGACTCCATGAGCTCAGTGCTTCACAGACAGAAGTCCTTCTCCATCGTAGAAAAGATCAAACCCAGACTCTTGCACATTTGAAATGAGACCAAAATAAGTTAAAAAAAGCCCTTTGTTTTCAGGGGAAAGGTAAATCTCCATTTTGACTCATTATTTTGCTGTCAGGGCTAAGTGGCCACTGTTAGTACACAGGTACTCACTGGTGTAAATCTACCTCCTGAGTGTCATTGCTGAAAGTCAGTGAACTTGTGCTTCAGTGGCTAAAGATTTATTTGTTTAATGCCTGGTGTCATCAACAAATTCAGGCCAGCAATGACATCCTACTTGTCTAAGTTAATCTACAGCCTTGGACTGTCCTTGTTTTTCTTCCCATTCAAACTTATGGCTCAGTGTTGGTGCCTGCCACAAACCAACATTACAGCTGAAGTGAAAGAAGTGATGAATGAACATGAGCTTTGCATGTGGATAATTAGAAGTCCGGCTGAGTAGATCACATTATTTAATGTATCGTCATTATGTTTGTATTTAAAAGCATCTAAACTACATTATTTCCTCTATTACTCCATCTCTGGCTCCAGGGATGAGTCGTGCTACATGTTTTGGAAGACTTGTTTTCTAAAAAATGATGGAAACACTTGGAGCTTAAATCATTGCTCTGTTAGGTTGGTAAATTGTCCCTACTTGAGAATACTCTTGTGTCAGGAGGAAAAGTCCTTGTTTGGCTGTGCTGCATAAAGCAGGACGATATTTAATTATGACAATGAAAACTCATCTGGTTTCTCCAAGTGCAGACAATATTGATTTACAGTTCTAATATAGAAAATGTGGAATTAAAAAGCTGGTTTATTTAGAAACTTACTTATTCCTTAAAATGTCTGTTCAGCTCATTTTTAAATTTGATTTCTTATCCCAAGTGAATTACACTGCATTTCTGAATCTCAAGAAGTGCTTGTGCCTGATAACAGCTGATCAAAGTACCAGCATGGTTTGGTCATTTTAATTGCAACATTTTTGTTTGCTGCTTTATTGGACAATGGTGTTTACAAAAGAGAGATTAAGAGCACCAGAAACAGAATTATAGAACACAGTTGGTGCATGAGACTTAGTATAGGACCAGAGTCTGTAAGGTCAGAGGCAAATGTTACCAGCTTGTAGGCAAAATTAATGTCTGATTCTGAAAAAAACAGCAAGGAAAATCCGTGCTAGTGTTCCAGCATGACAAATGAACTTAGGCAAGTTGAAGATAATCATGATTATTTAATATTCCACAGCTTTACAACTCGATACTCTGTGGACAAAAGATCAGAAGTCTGCTGAGTCCAAAGTTTTGAATCTTTGGGTCAATATGCTTCTCATGTCTTCAGCGTTTAGTTTAATTTAGGAGGAAACAGTTCTGAGCTAAGATAAGATCTCGGACAAAATTGACGTGGACTCACAACATGGCCTAACATAACAATTTAATCTATCCTGTGCTTCCCCTGAAAAAAGGCTTAATAACTGTGGTATGATTTCACCTGCTGCTTCTAACATTTGCTCATTCTTTTTTCCTGAGCAAATTTGGATTATCAGATGGCAAGCAGCTTTGTTCATGGTAGACAAACTTGAATTCATTTAGGATTAATAACAATGGGTTCAATCTTTGATTCAATGGCAGTCTTAATGAATGGAGTCTTTGGAAGACAAATGTTTGTTTGTGTTAAAGAGAAATAATCAATTCTCCATTTTGGGGGATATGAGGTGCTTATAGCACATATCACAAAATATTTTCCCTATGTATCCAGCCCTGAGTACACGAACTACAGGAATGTTCCTCAAGCCCTGGGGTTGCAAACATGGACCATTTTGACCTTGTAATTTCAAAATCTGAAGTTTCACAATGGATTATTTGGTGTGAGAAAAAACATATCTCTTACTCACAGTACTCTCAGGTCATCCTGGTGTTCTGATGCTGGGGAGTGTGGAGAGAGGAGGGTCCACGTCGCTGCGATGCATCAGCAGCTGTAGGTCAAGACAGGGTGGATCCGATGGATGAATCAAGGCTGGATCTGCATTTTGGCCCAGTCCTCACCATTGTCTTAGATAAGGGCATCTTCCAAATTCCTGTGGGAAATCCCGCATCCTTCATTACTTCTCCTGTCTCTTGGGAAGGAACTGGAGCACACGCCACCCCTGTGCCCGGCCAGGGAGGGCTGCACTGCCCAAAACTGAGTGCCTGCTGACCTCTGGGAAAATTAACAGGCTTCAGGAAATTTACCCTGCAGGCAGTTTTACCCTGGAAAAACATCACACACGTTGTTAGAGTTTAGGACAACAAATTAGAGCATTTAATATGCACTGGAAGCTTTTTTTTTCCCTTCCCCATACCCGCTCCCCCCCCTCCCATACCCAGTAACATCCAGTTGCTTAATTCCATTTGAAATCACCCGGGTTAGGCACCTAAATAATCTTGTCCTTCATGCCTGTCAACATCTTGAGGCACCTAACCACCTTTAGAGATGTGGTGTGAAAGCTTGTGAACGATGCAATCGAGGAGGGAAACAAAAGACAAGTATCCCTATTTGCCGCCCAAGAATCCACAAAGAATGCTGCTTCAGCTCTGCTCTGATTTCTAATTAGATTATGAGTGATGTAGGACTCTGAAGCCAAGCTGGAGTTTGTGCTAGCACTTTGCATGTATGAATGACAAAGGGACACCACTTTCATATTGATTTAGGCAGGCCAGTGGAAGAATGTTTAAACATCAAGTGCTTGATGTCCCAGTTTGCCAGAGCACCTGGAAATATCAAATTAATTCCAGGTGTTCTGCCATTAAGACAGGCTTGCTGCTTTTACAGCCACACATACAAAATGTGGCTCCCAGTTCCACAAATAAAAACGGAGTGGTTTCTGCTCCTAATACCTCGATAACTCTGACATATTGCAAGTTCTGGAAAGAATTTTAATCTACATAGGTTTTTTTTTTTTTTTTAAGGGGAGGGGAGCGAGGGGGGAGGGATTTTAAATATGCTGCATACAATTTGTGATGGTCATCTCTAAAATGCAGCTCCATTATCCTTTTCCATTTGGAATGAATGAGGCTAATTAATTTCAGGCCATACTTGATGAGGTCAGCACCATACGAAGGGTGCGTGCTAGACATTGCTAATCTCTTTCAGCTGAGAGTGATGAATTAAAGATGAAGCATTCCTTTGCAGGCCTAATTTAGAATGTATATCAAAAACCTACAGCAAATAATACTATACCCTACAACAAAGGAAAACTTGTTCTCTCAGGCTCCCATGTAGGGTTGATTTTAAAGGCATTTTCATTTCGCTTTGGAATTCCAGCTGTGGATGGGTGAAACAGTTCAGAAAATTCAAGCTTTCTCTCTTTCTATTGCTTTTATGGACACAAGTAGGCAAGGGGGGGCTAAGGGGAGGGCAAAACTAGTCCATGTTTGATCCTGTATATCCTGTGATTCTGACTGTACGCCCGGTGTTTAGGAAAGCTCCCAGGGTCGTGTGCTCCCCAAGTACCTGTGACGTGACACCTCCCCCCACAGCCCACACTGAAATTTTACTGTTGGGTGTTTTTTCAGTCTGAGGGGAAAGCAATCAAAGGTCCCCTTGGGTTCAGCATCATCCCAAGGATGTTTTGTTGCAGGCAGGAAACAGGCCGGGTCCAGCAGTTCTTCTGGGTCACCCAACAAGGACACAAGAGTTTCCAAGCCATCACAGAGCTGTATTTCTCCATAGGGAAAAACACCTCCCTGTGCAAAAAGGTCCCATCACATCTACAAGCATAGATAGCAAAATTTAAAGGAAAAAGTCAAGGCGAAAACAATCAGGTCTGGAATCGGAACAAATTGCTACAGGGCTCCCAAATTTGCTGGAGTCGAGGCTCAACCAAGCTTTGCCACCTTTCCCTTAGGCAAATCTGCCTACAAAGCCCATAGGGGTTTCCCCTGAGTGAGGGACTGCGGGATTTGGCCCCATGAGCAGCAAGAAACTCGTTTTGGTAAAACAGGGACTTAAGAAATCCTAATCCAGCCTCGGAAGGAGGCTGCAAACAATAGACCATCATCCTCCCCGCAACTTCCCTCTTTAATACCTGGCAGTTTCTTGGAATTCTTGACAGGTTGCTGCAGCGAGTCGAGGTTCCCAACTGGTGGCCATAAGCGGCTGCCGTCTTTGTATCCCAGTAGTCCTCATTAGAACAAAGCTGCTTCGAATTAAATCCAATCTACATGCCGAATCAATCTTTCAACCCTTTGATTGCTTCTGAAAATATTTATATTTCTTAATAATGCACATTTTGTCCCAGAGCCTGTGATTAAACCCAGACAAGGTCCAGAGAAGCCTAAAGTATATGTGGAGGGGGTTATTTTGGACAGGAAAAGAAAGATAAAGAACACAGGTTTTTCCTATTGTGAAACCATTAGAGTGTATAAATCTAGCAATTGCAGTTGTATAAGCATCAGAGTGGGGTTGTAATAAATACAGATTGGAGTATTATAGTAACCAAATGGAGTTTATGGATTATGTTCACTAGTTCATATTTCTCAGCTACTACAGTCTAACTAGCATCATGCCGCACTCGCCTCTGTTAATATTCCCTATTAATATTCTCTTTACATGTTCGTGGGGGGAAAAAAGAAGTTAGGATTCAACTGCCGCTCTGTGTAAAACAAATATGTTTAAAGAATCATGCCCTCCTCCAAAGAAAAAAATAAACATGGTGATGCTGTAAAGCGACTGCGTTCGAAGGGCACAGGCTGTGGCTGGCTGGAATCGGCCCACTCTGCTCAAAGTTAATAACTTCCATCTGAGTGGAATCTGGTCCTAATGCGGGGCATTTGCTGCGTGAAAATTAGGGTGTAAAAATGAAGAAAACAACTGCTGCTATCCCTTACCCTGGTAAATTTTTTAGGCGGTAAATAACAAGCTTTGGCAGGAGATGAGAAACGCACGAAGGCTTTGTGGTAAACAGCACATTATTCCCTTCTCAAAAAGTAGCATACAGAAAGTGGCATACATCACAGGTGAGATGTCTGGAGATGAAGGGAAGGATACATTCCTTGGCTAAGGAGTAACCCAGATAGGGCCTGATCCTCCAGAGTGGGAATCTGACGTCGATTAAGAAGGTAGTGGTGGCTGGGGACGCAGATCAGATAAAGGCTCTGTACCTGTCTCCCTCCCTAAACACAAATGACTGCCCTTGTCTCTAATAAAAGGGAAAAATTGACTTTGGAAAACACACCATGATAAAACTCCTTGGATAAAGTAGTGCACTGCCTGGGTGAGAGGGAAAGAAATCCTAGAAACTAAAAGTATAAAATGCTTATTTAATATCATTGCTATTAGCAGCATCAGATGGTAAACACAGGTAATATGCTTCAGCAGTGGGCTGGTAAATGCTTGTGTACCTTTCCTTGTGGCAGTTTCCACTTTTATAAAGGAGAGGAAGAAACATTCTCAGTTAAAATATTATTCACTGATTCTTTCATCACACAGTTCATTATATTAAGCTGTAATTTCCTAAATATGTTGTGGGGTGGTATTATTGTTATACGTACATCCTGAGTCTTGATAGCTATTTTGCATTAATGTATGATTTGGATTCTCAGTCTTTAGGGTAGAGAGAATGGGGTTTTTATCATCACCATAAATAAGGGGAGAGAAGAGATTTAAAAAACCTCTCATAAATAGGGATGGATCCAAAATCTAATGACATGCATGAAAATCCATTTTGGATCAGGCCCCCAGCAGAACACTGTGTTATATAACCAGTATTTTCTGAATATCTTCTATTGTTTGACAGCCCTGATTTCACACTGAACTTGGAGTTCATTTCCAAACAGAAGCTTTTTGTACAGAAACTTTTAATCATATCCCTTCGTGAACACACACATACCATCGAGGATATTGTCTTATTAAAGAGTTTAAGCCTAAAGGTGTATGCCTATTTTTAAAAGAAATTTTCTGATTGTAGATAACTGCTCAATTTGATTTAGTGTCCAATGATAGTGATGGGGTTGATAACTGAGCATTCATCGGTAATTCATCTTGTGCTAGTAGAAATTTACAGCAAAGCAGTGCTTTCCCAACACTGACAAGTCCTATTAATCTTCTTCAGACACATTTCAATAGGTGTCTCCATCTGTGCCCAACATCTAAACACTCTGGCATCACTGGGGACTTGGAGACACCTTCATTTCAGGTTACACCAGTGAAAATGTGATACTAGATTGTACTCTATTTTTAACCTAATTCTCTCTTTTCATTCAATTAGCCTTTCTTGCCTGCATTTTTCTACTCATGTGTAACATCCTTTTCCCAGGAAGAGCTTAAAAATGAGATTTAGTTACTTAAAGAGACAGAATCTGCCAGGGCAACAGCAACCAAGATCTTAATACATAAAAGCAGAATAATAAAGCTCACTGACAGAGCGTGGAGACGGAATCGCCATCCACCAAACACCTCCTGCGTACCATTCCTGTCATATTCCCCTCCTGATGCACCTCTTGCAGGCACCGTTCAGTTAGGGCAGGTCTGAAAACAAACACCCCAAAAATTCAAAACGACCGCGCAGCGTTTGGGCGTTGAAACCCAAAACACCTCTGTTTGTTCACTCCGCACGGGGATCCCCACCATACATCGCCACTTCGCTTTACACGTACAGCTAATGCATGAACAAACACAGAGCAGTCAAATTACAGCAATAACATTTATGGGTGGATTATGCTCCAACTTCCTCGCTTATTATTAAAAGCGAGTAGATTGCAGAGCACATGGAAGAGGTAGGGTGCAAATGCAGGCGAATTTGCGCTCGGAACCAAATGTTGTTTTTTCACTTTCAAAGCTGCGATGAGTTTGCGAGCAGACGCAGCACAGCTTTAAAGCTTACTCATTCAAAAATGTGTGTTTGGGTTCTCTTTTTTTTTTTTTTTTTTTTTTTCCCCTCCCCTCCTTACTCCATTTACGTTCGCCTTTCAAAGCGGAGCAGATGCACACCATTTGGGTTTGGGTGGCTCCTACTTGCTCTGAACTTTCTTCTGAAAAGAGCAAACCGTGAGCCGTGCGTCTGCTCCGCGACTCGGAGGCAGCTTCAAACTTTGTTTCTGGCTTTATGAAGTTCTCTCGTGAGTCGTATTATAGATCTAAATGACCTTATTGTAGGTGGCAAGTTTAAATGTGCCATATTAATAACTTGTTATCCAAGACAAATTAAGTCCTTATGTGTCAAAAGCACTCTGCTCTGGATTACCTACAAGACAAGTATTTATTGAATAAACGTTGGATCCAATTTCATTTTAATGTGACTGACTGTATGCTGCAGCCCCTTAGAATGAGATAAAAACGCTCAAACCTACAACTGTGTTGCAACATTACACCTAACTTGTCTATTTCTATTATTGCCTTTTTGATGTGGGATATCAAAAGTGTTTGGGGGTTTTAAGGATTTATTATTATTATTGTTATTATTTTTTTTCTGAAGAGCAAGGAGAGAGATAGAAAAAAAGACTGGCATTCAGCCTAAAGAGAAATCATTGAAACAAATTAATCCTATGCCGTTTAAATTGACATGGTAATCCATCATCAGCAAAGGGAAACTCTGAAAGCAATCTAGAATCTGCAGTGTTCTTTCACTGGCCCTCAGGCACAAAGACAGACAGTAAAAGAGGAAGGGGAAGAAAAAAAATCATAAAAGTTAGCAGCACCTTAGCAAAGGGAAGGGCTGAGAGAGCAGCTTTCACTTTTTCCTGCTTCCAAGCATCCAGCTCAGGAAAGCAACGCTGATTAACCTCCAGCCATTCCCCACGAACGTTTACTCGTGTGTGTCAGATCATCTTCGGCTGCTGAGATATGAGTAATTTCAAATAGTGCAGAGCCCCCATCCTGTATAAACTCCACCACTGAAAACTCTGCCAAACGTCAACTTGGGCATTTCTGCTTACAGAGGGCCTTTTATTAGCCTAAACTTGATCATTCCAAATGGACAATAAATTCTATCTTCACAGCCCTGGAGAAAAGAGCTGTGCTATCCTTGGGAGTTTAATAGCCAGGATTTTCATAGAGCTAGCATGAAAAAAACTGGGGGGGGTTTATTTGGATTTGGGCTTGGGGTATTTTTTTTGTCTATCCCCTGCTTTCTCAGTGGGGCTATCCACTATAATATATGTTTCCCAAGAGATTTTTCAAACTAGTTTTAAATATCTAAAGTGATGAGACTTGGTGCACCTTTAAAATTTTATTAGGCTTATGGTCAGTAGAAAACATAAACCTCTTGGGCCTTGAAAGCCCATTGCAATACAGCCATTATCCCTATAATGTCAATAGAGCTACAAAATTCTCTAGAAATAAACCTTTTAAGAACAGCTTTCCCTGCTTCATGTTTTCTTTTAGGGTCAGTGGTGCATCACTTTTTTGGAAAACGTTTCCCCTCTCTGGCCAAGTTTAGCAATGTGAAATAGAATGTATATTACTAAATGAATAGGTTTAATTTTAGACACTGAAAAAATAAATAGAAGAAGAGAGCGAGGGCAGGAATAATACCTTTCAGTTAGAAACAGACATAGTAGAAAGAAAAAGTCAGAACTTTAGTGCCAGGGGCAAAGGGGTGAAAGGCTGGCTAATATGAACCATATCCAACATCTGCCCTATTTTAATTTAGCAGGGATAAAGTTTCTTCTTTTTTATTATTAAGAAAACTTTATGTGGCAGAGAAACCCATGAGCTATGTTATCAAAACTGTTTTATTGTCACACTGAAACTTAGAACTATTAAGAATTGGTGGGGCAAAGAGATAAAAACTCCCCTTCTCTGTCCTTTTATACTCTGTGACAAGCCTGGGCTCAGGTCCTGCTGACTTGGGTGTCCTTTTCATGTCTTTATGAAGTACTGCACTTGGGGCTGTAATATAAAGGGGAGGTTAATTGTTCAGGATGGGTCCAAATGATTGATTCTCCAGGTTAAAAAAAAAAAAATTAAATAAAAAAATGTGAATACCTAAAACAAAATACTGACACAGTAGTCGCCCTTGGAGGTGAGCGATGGTGGTGGTGTACAGCAAGTGTAAAGAAGGGCTGAACTGGGGACCTGTATGAGAAAAAGCCCAAATTGCCAGACTGGAACATGATCTCACTCTATCTAAGAGTTTTCCACCTCAGTAGTGCAAATTCCACTATAAAATAACAAAGTATACTGAACCACATGTGAGTAGCTGTAGGAGTAAGAGAGCAAATTGGTTTCGGACAAAAGAAGGATGAATACCTTTGGATAATCTAAAGTTAAAATTTGATTGAAAGCATAACATTCCTCTAAGCATCAATATGCTTAGGATCCAAAATATGGTTATTTTATTACCAGTTAATGCTTAGATCAAAGCAAAACACTGTAGCTGGAAGGGACATTCTCTCTGGAAATAAAGTTCCATGTAATTATTTCCTATTAAAAACTAAAACTGGTCTTAGATTCAAAAATTTGGGCTTCCTTACATGTGATATAGCACAAGCTTGTCAAGAGAGAGCAAACGTGTAATTTTTCGCCGTTTGCTGGTATCTCTTTAATTTAAAGTTTTCAGTTTAGCTTTAACCCTTTGAATGTGAAAGATTCTCTTCCAGTTTACCTTCATCAAACAAGGGGGATTGTTTTGGATTATATCGACCGATTTCTTATAAACAGAAATTAGAATTTGATATAAACTAACATAAATTTAGATAAAGCCTGCAAATGTAAGGACGTGAGATGTAAAGAAAATGATATGGCGATGAGTAGGCAGCTGAAACTTAAACCTTAAATTGTAAACAAGGGTTTCACTCTTGGGCAAAACAGCTCATCTTAATTCAGTTCGGGACATGGAGTTTAAAATATGCACTCAAAATACTTCCAAGAAAGCTGCAACCTTTCAGAGGAGAGAGATAAGACTGTATTTTAATTATGAGGTTATAAATATGCGATCGATTTAATTCTTTTTACCCATCTCCTAATGTGCTATGTAACACCGTTCAGATGCAGTTATACATTTATCTGTCTGTCTCTATATCTGTACAGGCTTTTGTTTTTATTTTATTCTGGTTTGTTTTTTTTCCCGATAGTTCAATCTCTATTTATGGCATTGCTGAAGCAGGCCCTGGGAAAAAAAAGGAATCTATCTTTCTGTATTTATAAACCACCATGGAATAAACAGGGAACGGTTCTTTTTTACAACTGATGGGTTGGTATTATAAGTAGCAATATGAAATATTTAGACACATTATTTCAAGCTTCCCGGCTGCTTCTGATTCTGCTAATTATTTTTGATCTGTCACTCAGAAATAAAAAAAATAAATAAATAAAACTTTAAAGAGTTCATTAGGACTGCAGAAAGGCAGAAGAGTCAGATATAAGGCAGCAATTATAATTTGGTTTTAACATGTTTTTTTCATTTTTTGCTGACTCCTCAGCTATATTGTTTAGTAGAAGGATGGCTACAATATACTTCTATATTAAAGCTTGTTAAATAGGGAAGAAGCTGAGACATTCAGCTGGGATATTGTTTGCTAGCTCAATTAGTATCCCAAGAATTTGAAAGTACAATAAATGTATCTGAAGATCATATCTAAACATACTTACCAAAAAGTACCCACCTCTCTCAGCAGTTCACATATTTCTGCCTTCTGACTGGGAGGGGAAAAAAAAAAAGGCAGTTCGATGTATAGGTTAAGATTGGCGTGTGGCAGGGTTTGTGTGAGATACAAAGAAATCCATATTTCACTCAACAATTTCATTGCTTAAACATATAGTTTAGAAGCATCTTTTCCTTAAACATGTGGTTCAATAACACTTTCTTCAAAGGAACAATTCAATGTGTTAAAAGATTTAAGAACAAAGAATGTGCTGCAAAATGCAAATTCCTCCAGTGTTATACTGTGTATGCAATTATGTATGTAGGCAGATAGATATAATTTGAGAGTTATTAACTTTCAACATCAATGATGTACCCTGAATCAATACAATGTAACTACCTATTAAAATATAAACCAGGTGTGTTCCCAGGCAAATACAGTCTGAGAAGCTTTTCTAGATTTTTTTTTTCTTTAAAGATTACAGCTCTACTGTGGACAAGAAGCTCAAGCGACTGGTACTGGTCCTAAAGATGGAGATTGCTTTGCTTTTTGCTGATGGTTCTAGAATGTTTCATTTCCCAGACGTTCGGGAAAAAAATATAAATTTAAAAACAATAAACAATAATGAAATGGTTTAAAGGGGACGAATTGTCTCACAAACATCCGCACATTTATGCACCTCCCGAAGCATGGGAAAGAGAAAAGTTCCCTATTTCCATTTTTCCTTTGGCTCAAGGGAGGGAACGAAGGGAGCAGAAATCATTTTAAGCTTGGCCCTCCCGTCTGATCGACCCCTCTTGCAATCCCTTTCTCCTGCCCGCCCTCCCTCGCTCCCCCGAGCACACAGCCCGGCGCAGTTAACCTTGGAGCGGCGCCGGGGAGGGAAGGGTTAATGAAACCCAGCTCTTTACGACCTCCAGGGTCAGACTCTTCCTATCTGCAATCTAAGGAATTAGGTAAGGAGGTTATAAGATTATAGTGAAAGGAGTTATAGGCCCTCGTAGCCTCACACCTGAACATATTGGGCTAATCCACTGGGATTCTTAAAAATCGCTTCAGCTATGGAAAACTGTTAATTAGGCTGAGTCTGTCCCGAGGTTTCCTGTTGCATTAGTGATCCAGCCGAGCTGCCTGCACTCTATAGGCTCACATGAAATGCTCTTAATATGCCTATATTTTTTGTCCCTTCTCCACGACCAAAATCAGCATCAGCCCCTAATCTCGGGAAAAAAAGCAAAGCTGGGGGGAAATTCAGCCCGAGGGTTGAACAAAAGTCACCCCTGCCAGTCCCTGAGCCCTGGGTGCCCGGCAGGCTATTTGCAGCTGTTTCTAACTTCAGTGTTTGTTTACAGTAGCAAAATTAGCACTTGGAGAAGAAGTGAAAAGCTGTTTTCACATCAGTTTTACTCCTCGGTTCCTAGTTTGAGATGCCTTTCCTCCCTCCCAGCATTCATCATCATTTAAAGTGCGGCTCAAACTTTCTGTCGCTCCTTTGACTTAGTTCTTTGCAGTCGCATCCCATTTTCTGCTGTGAAAAACACGCGGAGAGAAGGTAATGTGTGAACACGGCCCAAACATCACGGATTCGAGGCAAAAAAAAATAATAATAATCCCCAGCATCCCTACAGAACGTGTTTTAAGGTCGCTTGGCAGAGCCCTGCCCTACTTCCAGCATTCTGCCCTTTGGCACTCGGACATTTGCTTGTCTCCAGAGAAGTTTTCTTTAATCTGCCGAGACACCTCAGGGTTGAGTTGCTCCCTACGACAGATAAAATCCTGCAGCAGCAACTCCCCAACTTCAATACTTAAAGTAGGGGCTGGTTTTAACCATTTTGTCATTTGCAGAAATGCTGGGGTTTTTTTAATTTTTTCTTATGCCACTTGTGGTCACCCTCGAATGGCAGTAATCTGTAGATTACATATTACGAGCCTTGTGATTACGTGGATAAAATGAGGTGGTTAAAAGCTAAAATCCATTTTACTCACCACATTTGCTTGTGGGGAGAGGGGGAGAAGGAGAGGGGAGGACAAACTTGTAGGAGAAGGATTTAAACCCCTCGGATGTGAGGTGGATGTGCCCTCGCTTCTGCTGATAGAGCCCTCCCTGCCTGGTGGATACACGGGGCTAGGGACCCCTCAACATCACCTCCAAGGCAGGCGCCCGGTTACTCCAGCCCTCCTGTCCTTTCCCTCGCTCCTGAGTCTTTTGTCCCCATTTTCGTGGTGTCTCAGTTTTGCTCCATAGAGGCGACTTTTCTCTGCTACTCCTGGATTTGCTCTGTAGCATTTCTGGGCTCCTACTCTCCAGCTCTCCCCCCGTTTGCCTCTTTCATGTGTGTCCCTGATCCCTCTCCAGCTGATGTGATTCTTTAGAAATGTGGGTCTTATCCCGTCCCTACCTTTGCCGGGTCTGATTAGATATTATTTTTTCATTGGCTCTGCTACAATGGGTTCCTCCCTTTAATCTCTCGGTATATTTTCCCCCTCCCGGTATAACCAAATCCATGAAATTCACAGCCTCTCTCTTTGACACGACTGGCTCGTCTAATCACTCCATATCGATTTCCCTAACTCTTTTCATCCAGCTGAAGACACATCTTAAAACACTCCAAGCCAGAGTGTGCTCTTTGCTTTATACACACTAATAAAATGATTTACCCTTCTCTCTCTGCTCTCCTCACAGGAGAAAATCGTTCGAGTCGCGGCTATTTGTGTGTGATCAGTAAATATTTAGTGTGGCGACATCCTCAGCTCCTCTCCTGATCAATACGCAACCCAACAGGAGGTGGACTATTGTCCGGGTAGTGACTTGCTGAGATCTCCTTTAGATGAATTCTTTGCCCCCCATACGGTCTGTTATGATTTATCCTCGAAGGTAACCAATAAAGAGAAATTGAGTCTTTAAAAACGTCTGTTTCTAACCTGTTTACCGTGCCATTAAAGCACCTAAGCAAGGAATGGCTTATTCACCCCCGTCACCCGTATCCCTGGGATGGGCTGACACATCCAGAACGCTGCTGGGAAATGGGTATCAAAGCAGGCGGCCGCCGCACTGTTGCCCCGCATCCCAGAACCCCTCCATTCCCTCTCCCCGACCCCTCCAGCAAAACCCCGTCCTGTCTCGGCGGTGCAATGTCACGATAAAGGGGCGATTCCCCGGTCGCGCCCTGCAGCATCTCCGGGCACGGGGCTCGCCCCCACAGTCTCTGATGGAACGAAGTGCCCAGGGATGGAAGGTGCCCCAGCAACTTCCAGCCCACCTCCCTCCTCCTCCTCATCGCATCCCGCAGCTCTGCCTGCCCCAGGACCAGGCTGAGGCAGGGCTGGGGGTAGAGCGCTTTTTTGTTTGTTTGTCTGTTTAGGGTTTGGTTGTTTTTTGGTTTGGCTTTTTTTTTTTTTTTTCTGAACGAGATGGAAAATCTGCAGTGAAGGGGAAAAAATAATAATAATGGAAATGGAGAAGAGCTTAAAGCCCGTTTCCTGTGGTTAACCATAACGAGAGCTTTCCCAGGGTGATAAAATGGGCAGAAAGAGAAGTTCGCGTGTGTATGTGTATGTTTTATCCTGATCTGCTATTTCACTCCTGGGGAAGCCCATGCCTGGAATAGGAAATATTTCCCCTTGTAATTACCCCAGGACTGTGCTGTGCCCGGTGAGATGTCTGAGACAGCTCTGCCTGGTGTGCGGGTGCCTGCCTTTGATGCAGGCTGGGTGCCTGTACACAATGGCTACACAGTTATATCTGTATCGTCTGTGTGTGCTTACTCACATCATGTCCTGCAGCCCACAGAGGTGCCCAGATATTTATTTTATTCCCATGTTTGTGCGTTTGCACCTCAGCTATAGGTCGAAGGCGTTTATCTCTGTAAATGGACATTGCCTGCATAGGCGCTGCATAAATCCATGGCTGTGTATTACAGATGTGCGACTGTTATTCAAATCTAAAACCAGCTACATCCACCTGTTAACTTTGTTTAGAAACCACTTTCACTAATGGCTTTTCGCTAACTTACTCAGCCCGTTACTCGAGTATAGGAGGCAATGGAGGGGAAAAATCCATATGAAACCTTGCTCATAGCCTCTCTTCGAGAGGACACTTTCCACACCTTGCCTAGCCAGGGCTCCTATAGAGCGCTTATCTCTCGAATATATCTTTATACTAATGCATACTTAATTGGTCTGTCTTGACTGTCCATATAAAACAATTTAATTAGGGTGCTTTCTGCTTTGGAAAGAAAGAGAAAAAAAATCTGCCCAGCATTTATTGTATTTAGCACCAATACAGGCAGAAAATGTTGCACAAGTTTTTGGTTGAAAGAGCACCTATGTGTCCATTGAAGGGCGTTGATCCGAAAAGACAGAGAGGACAAGTAAAATCGATTTGAAGCAACCCTCTCTGTCCCTTTCACACCATTCAGACACTCCATTCCTTCTAAGACAAAGACCCAGCGCCTTGGGAATGCTGGCAAGGGGGTGGGGGGAGAGGAGGGGGAAAAAAAAAGGAAAAAAAAAAAAAAGGAAAAAAGCTTCAATCCCCCCAAGCAAAAGGGAGAGCTCTGAAATTCCTTCATATTGCTGTTATTTACCCCCCAAGATATGTTCAACTCCAGGATTTTCTTCAATTCGGCGTCTAACACTGCTGCTGCGAGGAATGTCCCTGGAAGGGGAGGAGGTAATTATGGCTATTAGTGCTGCGAGCCCAGCCGCAACCTTGGTCACTCGCAGGCTTTTAGGGTTAAAATAGCCCTCACCTCTGACCCCTGCGGAGCAAAGTTGTAGCTATTGCCATAAGTTGGGCCAAAGTTTTCAAATCCAGGGCTGGGCAACACCGGAGGGGGGAAACTTCTCCCTGGAATTATTTTTGGTTGGGATTTAAATCATCTTTAGTCTATTTAATTACCTTTCCCTCCTCCTTTGGCCAAACAATCCCTTTCGGAGAGGTGGGGGGCAATTCAAAATGCCCTGCTCTCACTACCTTTCCCACTGCTCTTTCCATTTAGGTTTAATTTGGCAGATTGTTTTCAAGCATGAAAATGGTTATCATCAAACTAAATTACTGGGTCAGCCTTTCATCCACAGATCTCAAGAATAAAGGGGGGGGAGGGGGAGGTGTCGGGGAGGGCTCCCCCCTTCAGACTTTCCCCACCATGACCCGTTCAGCTTTACAAAAAAAGGAGAGTTTGGAAAAATGAAGAAAGGACGAAAAGCTTGGATTTGTCTCCTGTTCTTTCTGCACACCTTCATGATCCTCCTCTGCAAGGAAGGATTTTGGAGGGGGGGGGGGAGGCTCAAAGTGAGGAGGGGAGGGAGCCCACAGATGCAAGCACCCCTCTGGCAATAATAAAAATTCATTCAAGTGGACTATGTCTCCATCTTCCATGTACTGATTAGACTTAACAAGAGTGGAAACTTGTGTAGACCATATTTATGGTATTAACAAGCAGTTAAAAGATTTATCCTTCTTCTGATCAATATTGTTCGTGCCCGGTCCTTTCCCCCCACCCCCCGGGCCCTCCCCGAAGGCTGCAATGACAATCGCCTTCATACTTTTTCATCACCGATCGAGGTGGCAAAACCCTTTTGTAATTTTCATTAGCCCAGTAAACATGCAATTAACATGCAGCACTGTGGTTAACTTAATTCCTGTTTTAAGGCAAGGACAAGCAAGAAATGGAAGAGCGTTTGTTCCATTTGTCAAGTATGACACACTCCCTACCCTAACAGTTTCTTAAAATAAAAGCTCGGCTCCCCACCACCACGACCACCACCCCTCTTTCCAGAAACCCCCCACACTGATACACACACACACAAAAAAAGGAGCAGGAATCCATTAGTTGGAGAGTATTCTCCTGCCAAAGGCGGTATAATGTATTCCAAATTTTCCCAAGCCCTCACTGTACTGGGGTCCCGTTGCCCCCACTCCTCCCCCCCACCCCGGGGAAAGAGGCTGACGCGCTGATATTTCTCGTGGGTGAAAGATTTAGCCTTTTCCTAACCGTATTTTTTTTTAATAAAATAAAACTAAACGTGCTTCCCATGTCTAAAAGTTGCCATGTTTGTGAAGGGGGTGGGGAAAAATGTCTCCAAGGGTTTCAATTAGCAACAAATGATTATTGCAACGGATTTTTGGTAATGAAAAAATGTGGAGTACCTCTTTCGAGCTGGGATCTCAGGGGCAGTGAGAGAGAGAGAGGGGGGGAGAGGGAGAGAAGGAGAGAGAGAGAAAGAGGTTGCTGATTAGCTCGGATTCTTTCCCAACTTGCTTTAGCGTGTGCTTGCGTTCCCTGCCGACCCTACACAGGACACTATATATTTTTTCCCCTTCGGTGCATGTGTTGATAGTTCAGCCTGTAGTTGTTTGCGGTTGGCTTTTTTTTTTCCCTTTTCCTTTTTTTTTTCCTGCCGGGGAGGGGGGAGGTGAAAAGGGGGGGGAGGGGGGGGCTGAAATCGGTCGCATCCATCCTACCCCCACAGTCATTAACTTAGGAGATTTCCCTCTCTTATTTTTTTTCTCCCCAATTGGAAGGGTGGGTTGTGAATATTTTTCTTTTTTTTTTTTCCCCCCTAAGTCTCGCCTTTCCAGCTCCAAACAAGGTGTAGCGAGACGCTCTTCCTTCTAAGGAATGAAATGAGACAAGGATCACTCAAAGACATCTCCTACCTTGGGCTTGGGGATTTTTTCTTAAAGGCAAGGCGCACATTCCTAAGCAGCTGTGTACAAAGCCCCCCCTGAAATCTTGTCTGTGTAAAGTTAGAGTGTGTTCAGGTTTTTTTTTTTTTTTCCTCTCTCTCCCAAGGCTGATCGCTAATAATACATCGAAAGCACTTCCCTTTAGGTTGTGGGAAATCTATTCCCTTCACCTTGCCTCCTTTTTTTCCCCCCTGAAGGCTGTAACTTTACTTTTTTTTTTTCTCTCTCTCTTTTTTTTTTTAATCAGTTTGCACAATCGCTTAGATAAACACCAAGAAGGAGACTTCTCTTTAATTACCCAACGCACATCTTTCTGGGGGGCAAACAGCGGTCTGATTTTTTTTTTGTTTGTTTGTTTCTTTCACCTGCCAAACTAAAGGAGAGGTAGAAAAAGGAAGATGCAAGCGATTTGGGACCTTGAACAAGGCAAATATGGTTTTGGTATGTTTACTTATAGTTTTTTTTCTTCTTCTTTGACACTTTTTTCGGGCAATGTGTTGTGATTCTTGTGTTTCTCTTTTAAGGAAAACAAAAAATCCAAAAAAGCAAATGTTAGCTAACGTGCGTCTTAAACGATCGTTTCTAAGGTTACGTGGGTTGCTCTAAGGAGGGGAAGAGGGGAGGGGGGCAGACCCAAGTATGTGTAATTGCAGCACCATCAGTTAGCACGTCCTTTAGCTAAATAAAGCAAAGCAGCAAACAAACAAACAAGCGAACAAACCCAACGACCGGACTCGGCTTCCAGGTCCGAGGCAAAGCGCCTCCAAGTCATTTCCCCAGGAGCAGCGCCCGGGCGCTGCCGCCCCTGCCCGGCGCCGGGGCTGCTCGGGGGGGAGCGCGGACCGACCTGCTCCGGAGGGTGGGAGGGCAGGACAAGGCTCTTAACTTAAGTGATAGGTATTAAACTGCCCGGGATCGTGCCGCCGTGTGCAGCTGGCAGCGTTTATTTGGGGTAGAAAAAAAAAAAAAAAAAAAAAAAAAGGTCGGTGGTGAAGGTATAGAGCCGAGATCCCCTCTCCCCCTCCGATCCCTTCCCTGGCTAAGCAAGTACAATGGAAAGAAGCTGGAATATACTCACCATCCGAAGGTGCGGTTGGTAGATCGGCTGAGGCTTTAAGGCAATTATTTATCCTTTTTTTTTTTTTTTTTTTAAGTATATTGCAAAAGACGTAGATCTGACTTTAAGCAGCAAAAGTGTTTTGCTCTGATAACAGCAAGAGAGGCACGGTTCCTCGTTAAAAAAAAAAAAAAAAATCACAAAACAGGATCTCCCCCCCCAATCCCTTACCACTATCCCTTAAAAATACCTATTCGGTACAGTTCTCGCAGAAACCCTGATGCAGAAATCTTATAGTCCGGTCTAGGAGTGCCCAAGCCAATTAATTTTAAATCCTTAGGAATTAATCAGATTAAAATGTACAGAAGTTTCATTCTCGTATGCATACGTGAGCCAAAAGTCGTTTCCCTTTAAGAGATCCTTTTCTTTTAAAGTTGAATTTTAGGCAGATAAGAGACTTACACTAGGGGGCAGCCAGATACTGTACTTGCTCCAATCTTAAGCAATTTTTTTTCCTCTCTCACAGCATATGCTCTGATTTAGCACTGTAAATTTTTCAGAGGACCCAACTCTGACAGCCCCTGGTGATTTTCAAAGTACCACAAGCCAGTGGTTAAAAATTGCATTGACTTGGAAGTTCAGAGGCACACAATAGGAGCCACTTTCCCTATTCATGGAACTTCAGTGTGGTGGAAGAGAAAAACACACACATACTACATTGAGGGAGAAGAGGAATTCATTGAATTCTGTTAGACGTAACTGCTTTCCACTGAGTTCAGAGCGAAACTCGGTATTTGTTCGATGCTGTATTCATATTGCGATTTAATCTAGAAAGAATTAGAGGACTGTTAGGCAGCTTTCTGCCAGGAAAGCAGCTTCCCCCTCCTTCCTCCTCTCTTTTTGAAACCTAAAGATTTACACCGGCTCTATCCTCAACTCTATTTTAGCAAAATAAATCCTTCCACTCCCTCTCATTAAAATAAATTTACATCTGCAGTAAAATGGCAGGAGGGATGCGTTTGTTTATTTGGAAAACCAACACAGTCTCACTTTTAAACCAGAGCATTTCTATTGTCATTAGCCTCGGAGAAGGACAGAGGAGAATCTCCCCCTTCCTTGCGAGGCGCTCAGGTTTCGAGGATTATTTAGCGAAATTAGCTGCAGTTCATTTTTACATTCATCTGTTCTGTCTCAACCCACTCGTAGGGGTGTTTTCAAATAAATAGCAAAGCATCTAATGGTGCTAATAGGTAGTTATATCGCTGCATCCCTCGAAGAGCAAATAGTTAATCTGGGGCATTCTTCATTAATGCTTGAGCAATCAGCATATACGGCGGCTTTTAAGCTTATATCAATGGCTTTTCATTTTTACGATCATACGTTCGAACTAGTAATATTGTGCGTCCTGTTAAAACCGCTTTCTCTTATGATTTCTGCATTTGTTAGGACGGCGTTAATGCTTTTTCATATGGTGAATTAATCCTGTTTACTTTGTCAGATTCGAGACAGGAAAGGTTGGTGTTGGGTTGTGGTTTGGGTTTTTGTTGGGGGGCTTTTTCCCCCTTCAGGAAACTCAACATCAGCAACAATCTGTGACTATTCTGTATTTTGAACCCCCAGCTTCTCCCACCCTCCCCGAAAGGTGACCTCCTCGGCTCTGGGTTATTTGGAAATCATAAGACAGTTCCCCACATTTTAACAGGGAAAGATTCCTTTCCCCCTTCTGTCTTCCTAGTCCCTCATGGTCCCTGTTTCGGGTAAAGGTTATTTTTTTGCTCCGTGAGGATCAATGGGAACGCTGCAGCCTTGTCTTTGAAATTGAGCCGCAAAACATCTTCGTCCGTGGGGTCTGAACACACCAGGTTTCCAGGCAGGACACTGTCAAGTCGAGGTGCTTTTTACAACTTTCCAATCACCTCCACACCTGCGGCTTTAGCCACATCTATTATTTCTGCGGCAGGAGTGGGTGGGCATGTGGCAACATGAAAAAGTGTATGTGAGGAGGTGAGGAGCAATTAATCCCTCGCAGAGTTGTGCCCAGGTCTGTGTCCCCGCGGCCGTGCTTGGTGACCGGCTCACATGTGAGCGCACATACAAGCGTGCGTTCGCAGAGGAGGAACGATCCTCTCGGGCGTTTATCTGTCTATTTTAACATGTTTCCTATTTTATCTCTCCGTCCCTTCTCTTGTTGGAGTGTCTTTTGGCCATTTGTACCGGGAGACTGACTCGGAGTCCCGGTAGTTCCATTCAGCGGGAGATAAACCCCCGTCCCCGCGCTTAGATCTGTTACCTGCTCGCGGTGCAGCACGGAGCTTGTGTTACGGTGTCAGGGTACGTGTGGTCATAAAACTCCCAGACCCACAAAATGAAGTTAAAGGGGTCGGGGCGAGCCCCGCCGCAGAGATGCCGAGCGGGGAATACGGGGATGCCGCGCAGCGGAGCGGCCGCGATGGTGCCTTGAGCGGAGCCGCGGGGATGAGGAGACAGCGGGCGGAGCGGCGGAGCCCCGGCGTCCCGCCGGGGTCGAGGCTGTGCGAGCGGCCGGTCCCGGAGCGCCCCGAGCACGCCCGGCCGGGCTCGGCTTAACTCTGCTCGGCTCGGCTCGGCTCGGCTCCGCGGGCGGACGGGGCTCAGCTCAGCGCGGGGCTCGGCGAGCGCAGGTGCCGCCGCCCCCGTGCCCGCAGCACGACCGCGGGGCCGGGGCTCCCCCGCGCCGCGGGGCGTGAACCCGAACTGCGCTCCCCGACCCCTTTCCAGGGACCGGCGGCCGCCCCTCTGCTTTACTTTATTCCGTGGAGTTTTACCTCGCTTTAGCGCCTGCTTTCCGCTTCCCACCCCGCCGCCCCCTCCGACACCCGAGGAGGGCAGCCCCAGGTGAGGCGAGGCGGGTGAGGCGGAGTGAGGCGGGTGCGGCGGGCTCGCCGTCACCCCCGTGCCCCGGCGGGGCGGTGCGGGGCGCGGAGCGGGGCACGGAGGGGCTCGCCGGGCGGGCTTTAGGACCCGGCGGCAGGGCCGGCGCCCGGCGGCCATGGCGGGCTCGGAGCGGCGGCGGCGGCGGCCAATGAGGGGCGGTGGGCGGGGCGCGCGCGCGGGGCCAGTCAGGCGCCGGCCCGGTTGCCTTATAAGGCGCGCGGTCGCCATGGCGACGCGCGCCGAGTTGCAGCAGCCGTGTCAAAGTTCACTCTCCCGCCAGCGGGGCGAGCGGCCGGCGGGGAGCGCGCCCGCCGCTCACTCGGCCCACACGCCGCCCGCACCGCCCGCCCGCCCCGCCCCGCCCCGCCCCTTCCCCGCCGACAGCGAGGGGAGGGGAGCGGGGGGGGAGCCCCTGCTTCTTTTTTTTATTATTATTTTTTTTTTCAATTTTTTTTTTTTGGGGGTGGGGGGGAGAAGCGCTGGCGCGCTCTCCCCGTGGTGGTGTTTTTTTCGCCTCCCCCCCCCCCCGCCCGGCTGAGGAGCGATGCTGCGCGCTGGGTTATGATCCTTCCCTCTCTCTCTCCCTCCTCCTCCTCCTCCTCCTCCTCCTCCTCTCCTCCTCCTCCTCCTCCTCCTCCTCCTCCCGCTCCCCTCTTTTATCATCCTGGCTGGCTGGGCGCTGCTGCGCTGGCGAGTTGACTCCTTCCCTCCCCCCCGCCCCGCGGCCCCCCTCCCCCTGCCCGCGCCGTGAGCACCGGCGGCGCGGAGGCGAGAGCCCACTTGCGAGGCGGCAGAAGCAGCATAAGGCAGCGCGGCGGCGGCAGCGGCGGCGGGAGCGGCGGCGGCGGGAGCGGCGGCGGCGGCAGCACCCGAGCGGCGGCGGGAGCGGGAGCGGCGGCGGGGACGCGGCGCGGCGGGAGCGGCGAACCGGCGGAGCGGGGCAGAGCGGCGGCGGCGGCGGCGGCGGCGGCGAGGAGGAGGAGGAACAAATAAACAATCATAATAATAATAATAATTCATAATAATAATTATTATTGCGAGAATAAGAATTTTTTTATATTAAAAAAAAAAGCGGGGAGGAAAAAAAAAAAAAAAAAAAAAAAGACCAACAGCCCCCCCCACACCCCCGAGCCCAAAAGAGGGAGCGAGAGAGAGCAAGAGCGCAGCGGCCGGGCGGAGCGGCGGAGAGGAAGAATTAAAGCGAGCGAAGGAGGGAGGAGAGACAGAGCAGAGAGAGAGAGAGAGGAGGAAAGAGGAGGAGGAGGAGGAAAAAAAAAGCCCACAAAAACAAAGCGATCGCAGTTGATGTTGCTGCTGCAAGCTGGACTTCCAAAAACTACGGCGAGACCGACCGCTCTCCGCGCCGAGAAGAGTCTCCTCCGCTGTGCGTGTTTTTTTCCGCTGTGTGTGTAATCTTTAACCTTTTATTCATTCTTATTTTGATGGCTTTCCTGAATGGCTGACTGCGAGCTTCCCTGGACCTGGCCCCCAGACACCCGCCTCTCCTCCTTCAACTACTCTGCTGCAGATCAGCTCTAAGAGAGAGAGAGGGAGATCTTTGAAGAGATTTTTTTTTTTCTCCTCTCTCTCTCTCTCTCTCTCCCCCTCTCTCCCCCACCCCCACCACCCCTTTACTTTGCTCTCCTGGAGCCCAGACAATCGACTCGCACCTCGCCCCCCCGCACACACACCTCCATCGCCCCGTGCTTCTACACCTTCGCCGGTACCGGGAGATCCCCCCACCCCGACCCTCCTGAAAAAAAAAAAAAAAAAAAAAGAGGCAAAACAACAAAAGAGAGAGGGGGAAAGAGAGAGAGAGAGAGAGGGGAGGACAAAAAAATAAAAAGACTGCTGCAAAGCTGATCTGAAAAGCAAAGCAAACAAACTTTGAAAATAAAGGGGGAACAGGAAGTTTGGCAACGGTGTCCAATAGATATGGCAATGGTAGTCGGTGCGTGGCGAGACCCCCAGGACGATGTGCCCGGAGCTCAGGGAACGCAGCCTTCGCAAGCCCCGCCGGTGCAGGGACCCCCGGCCGGGACCCCGCACACCCCACAGACCCCGGGGCCCGGGGGCCCTCCCAGTACGCCAGCCCAGACCAACCCGCCGAGCCAGCAGAACCAAGGAGACAAGCAGCAGCAGCAGCAGCACATTGAATGTGTGGTTTGTGGGGACAAGTCTAGTGGCAAACATTATGGCCAGTTTACCTGCGAGGGTTGCAAGAGTTTCTTCAAGCGGAGTGTAAGGAGGAATCTCAGCTACACTTGTCGTGCCAACAGGAACTGTCCCATTGACCAGCACCACCGCAATCAGTGTCAGTACTGCCGCCTCAAAAAATGCCTCAAAGTTGGCATGAGACGGGAAGGTATTGGGATTTCATTTGTTTTGCAAATTTTTTTTCACTCGCTGCGTTTTGGGGTTTGTTTGCTTTTTCTTTTTTTAAATTTTTTTTAATAATATATATTATTATTATTATTATTTTTAACCTCCCTACCCAAACCCCAAACCCAACCAGAACCTTTCCTCCCCCTTACCCACCCCCCTCGAATAAACCAGCCAGAAACTTTCTCGTAATGAAAGAAAGCGGTGTTGGGGAGGGTGGGCAGGGAGTCAGGGGCTCTCGCATGCTTTCTCCTGCACTCGTAATTGATTTGTGTTTGTTTTGATTTTGCTGATGGAGGTTTATTGAAAGTGGATTTTTAGTTTCACGCTGCTTAGGAGCGAGATGATGATTCTGACGTGTGGTTACTTTTCCTTCGTGTTTCCTCCTGCATGCTCAGCCTTAGCCCCTGTCCCCCGAGCAGCTCTGTGTGTGTGTCTGTCCATGTGTGTACGTACAAACACACGGAGCCTCCCGAGATGCACACACACACACACATATATATATATCCTCCAGCACCCTGCCTTAGATTGCAATTTTACACAGGCGGTTCAAATTACTATTACAATGGGACTCACCCTACCGAGGCTCTACAGCACTCCACTGTGGATTCCCAGCCGGATTTTTCCTCCTTTAAAAATATATATACACACACATCTCCGCGTGTGTGTGTGTGTATATACATGCTGCCGTGTGCCTGCCTTTCCTGGTTGTTATTACCTCACTTTTCTCTTCTTCCTCTTATTTTCTTGTTCCTCCGGGAGAGGCAGGAGGGGGTAGAAGGGATGGGGTGGGGGGGAAGGAGCAGCCCAGAAGTAAGTGTGGGGTGCTCGGGTCTCTGCAAGTGGAGTCTTTGTGATATAAAATTAGACGGGAAATGTGAGCCTGCAGTTTTCCAGTGCGTGCTCTGTGTCTGGACGCTGCTATGTAGGTTAAGGGTGAGGGGGCTTGGGACTCGCTGGGCTCCTCTCTTTGTGTTTCTGCAAGAGTAACTAACCTTGGAATACGGGCGATAACAAATATAAATCAAGCACATTTTTAGGCGTTCTCCCTTCTTGTCGTCTCTCTGCCTCTGAGCCCTTTTTCTCTCTCCTTTTTCTCTCGCTGTCACCGTGTAAATTTATTAACAAAATGAAAGGCCCACTTTCCATGGGCAGCGGGGGAAGGTGCCTTTGGATAATGCCCTCAGCCTCACCAGGGGACCTGCCGGGGATGTTGTGGGGTGATTTCGCCTCCTTTGGTATTTTTTATGAGCGGGGGGGATACATAATAACAGCAGCAACAATGTATTCAGTGGGCGAGAAACGCGTGTGGGACCAGAGCCGGGGATTTCGAACTGAAGTGTTTCTTCCCTCTCCCCTCCTCCCTCCCCATCCCGCTCCCCCAGCCTCAAATCAATGAGCTGTTTTAGGTGTAATGAAGAAAAAACACCCGGGCACACAAAGACGTATCCTGCATCTCTTGAAGGAGGGGGTGGCGGTGGAGGGGAGGGGGGAAATAACTGGATTGTGGTGTGTTTTGGGAAGTGAGAAGCTGGGCTCCCGCAGCAGCCCTGGCCGAGCTCACAGCGTTCCTCAGCTTTTATTGTTGCTTTGACTTGACCCGAGAACTGCGGAGCATTTAACCGGGGCTGGGGCTGAACTCTGGCTGGGAAAATGCATGTTCCCCCTGAAGCTGGCCGGGTCCGGGGTCACACAGGCACGCAGAAGCACACAAAGCAGGCTGTATTTGAACCGATGGTTGCAATTCAGATATTAATAGCTGTAGTTTCTTCTCTATTTACTGCAGCGGTCCAGAGGGGCAGAATGCCACCCACACAGCCAACTCATGGTCAGTTCGCCTTGACAAATGGGGACCCTCTCAACTGCCATTCCTACCTATCCGGATATATCTCCCTTCTTCTGAGAGCAGAGCCCTACCCCACCTCCCGCTTTGGCAGTCAGTGCATGCAACCCAACAACATCATGGGCATCGAGAACATTTGTGAACTGGCAGCTAGGATGCTCTTCAGCGCGGTGGAGTGGGCCAGGAATATCCCCTTCTTCCCAGACCTCCAGATCACAGACCAGGTGGCCCTCCTGAGGCTGACCTGGAGCGAGTTATTTGTCCTCAACGCTGCCCAGTGCTCCATGCCCCTCCACGTAGCTCCGCTCCTGGCAGCTGCTGGCCTCCACGCTTCGCCAATGTCTGCTGACCGAGTGGTCGCCTTTATGGACCACATACGAATCTTCCAAGAGCAAGTAGAAAAACTGAAAGCATTGCATGTCGACTCTGCAGAATATAGCTGTTTAAAGGCCATAGTCCTCTTCACCTCAGGTAGGCGGCATTTCTTTGCTCCTTTTTTTTTTCCTTCCCCGGGCCCCCCTTGAGAACTGTTTGCTCTTGCAAAGTGTTATTGCCTGCACCCCATCACTGCTTCCCTGGCCCCCCGAGAAACCAGCGCGGTCTCTTTCCTTTTAGGAAGCAGTGCCCTGTGGTCTCTCCTTCAGGGCCTTGGATCCGAGCATCCCGTCTTCCAGGGAGTGCAAATTAGAAAAAAATAAAATAAAAATAAAATACACACACACACAAAACTAAAAAAAAAAAAAAGGACAACCAAAATACAAAAATGCACCCCAACCCTAGCTGAATAATGCTGGAGACTGGGAAAGAAGGGGCCCGGGAAGAGGCACCCATTCGCCACGAGAGACTGCGCTCTTCC